ATTCGGCAAACATCTGAAAATACGATTTGTTCAAATTTAATACTTGTGTTTCTGTCACTCCATTGTACTTGTTCAAATCTTCTCGTCCGACCTTCTTGTAAGCTGGATCCTTTTGAAGAAAACGATTTATTCACATTTAATAGTTGTTTTTTCGTCAATTCAGTCTGTAGATATAAGTCGTCTATTCCAGCGGTATCCCACCACCGGGTCATGGACCATTTGCTACTGCACCCGGTCTTGTTTATATTTTGTTACGCACGTGACCGACACCGACCTCTCCTTCACGGTCTCTGGAAAAATTGTCTTGTCTAACCCTGATCCGTGGCGTAAAAATTTTGTGGACCGCAGCTCTAGTTCAGCCTAATTTTAATCCGACAAGCATTTGATCAAAAATGATTTATTAACGTTTCATATTTGCTTTTCTCTCAATCCATTCTACGGGATTAAGTCCTCTAATCCAAACTTCTTTAAATCCTTTCAAACGCAATCAGATGTGTATATCTCAATAACATATGTTTTGTAATATTGTTTGTTTATTTGTTAAAACATCCCAGTTGTTATATAATAATCTATTTGGGATATTTCTCTCCCTCTCCTAAAAAAAAAAAAAAAAAAAAAAAAACGTTTTTTTCATTTAAAATCTCATTTGATTTATAGTGTTCCAGTAACTTGGACCGATTTTAAATGTGAATTAACTTTAAGTGTCTAATGATTTATTTTCTTTTTCTTTCAGAATTAACAACTTAAGTCTTTGGCAATTTCAACCATAGAAAGATTAAAAATCAAACAAAGTGTTAAAGTTATCGAAGCCTATTACGAAAATGGACGTTCAAACAGAAATGCATTTCGCGCGCTTCACAATTTTTTTTTTTTGTCAAAATAATCGACCAACCGAGAGTGTAATTGGAAAAATTGTTCGTAAATTCGAGCAAACTGGTTCATTGGCAGATGTGAAAACACCATTGCGCGCTCGTTTGCGCCGTTCAGCCGAAAACATTGCTGCAGTGCACGAGAATGCGGTCGAAAATCCGGACACCTCTATTCGTCATCGCGCGCAGGAATTGAACTTCTCCACAACAACGTTGCATCGAATTTTAACAAAAGATTTTATCTCTCAAACCTTACAAGATTCAATTGACACAAGAAATGAAACTTGCTAACCATTTGAAGCTTCAATTGGGTGCATGAGCAAAGACAAGACGATGAAGATTTCTCGCAAAAAAATCCTCTTTAGAGATGAAGCCAATTTTCATCTTGGTGGAGTAATAAAAAAAAATAAGCAGAATTGTCTCATTTGGGCTGATGAGAATCCAAGGAAGATTGTTAAAAAATCAATGCATCAACAAAAGGTCACTCTTTGGTGTGCATTTTTTGCTAGCGGAATCATTGGTCCGTATATTTATAAATTTGAACGTCCATTATCGTAATAGGCTTTGATAACTTAACAGGCTGTTTGATTGTTAATCTATCCATGGTTGAAATTGCCAAATACTTAAGTTGTTAAATCTGAAAGAAAAAGAAAAAAATCATTAGAAGCTTAAGCTTAATTCACATTTAGAATCGGTCCAAGTTATTGGAACAACCTTTATACATACAGACATATATATATATATATATATATATATATATATATATATATATAGATATATATTGTAAGAAATAAAATTAAACGTTCGATTAATGTCCCTACTCTGAAATTTAGAAATAAAATGAAAGAAAGAAAGAAAGAAAGAAAGAAAGAAAGAAAGAAAAAAATAATACTAGAAAGAAAGAAAGAAAGAAAGAAAGAAAGAAAGAAAGAAAGAAAGAAAGAAAGAAAGAAAAATAATACTGGAAAGAAAGAAAGAAAGAAAAATAATACTGAAAAGAAAGAAAGAAAAATAATACTGGAAAGAAAGAAAGAAAGAAAAATAATACTGGAAAGAAAGAAAGAAAGAAAGAAAGAAAGAAAGAAAGAAAGAAAGAAAGAAAGAAAGAAAAATAATACTGGAAAGAAAGAAAGAAAGAAAGAAAGAAAGAAAGAAAGAAAGAAAGAAAGAAAGAAAAATAATACTGGAAAGAAAGAAAGAAAAATAATACTGGAAAGAAAGAAAGAAAGAAAGAAAGAAAGAAAAATAATACTGAAAAGAAAGAAAGAAAGAAAGAAAGAAAGAAAGAAAAAAGAAAGAAAAAGAAAGAAAGAAAAAAAAAGAAAGAAAGAAAAATAATACTGAAAAAAGAAAGAAAGAAAAAAGAAAACTAAGAAAGAAAGAAAGAAAAATAATACTGGAAAGAAAGAAAGAAAAAAATAAAAAGAAAGAAAGAAAGAAAGAAAGAAAGAAAAAAGAAAGAAAGGAAAGAAAGAAAGAAAAATAATACTGGAAAGAAAGAAAAAGAAAGAAAGAAAGAAAGAAAATAATAAAAAAAAAAAGAAACTGAAAGAAAAGAAAGAAAAATAATACTGGAAAGAAAAAAAAAGAAAGAAAGAAAGAAAATAAGAAAGAAAGAAAGAAAGAAAAAAAATATACTGGAAAGAAAGAAAGAAAGAAAGAAAGAAAAAAATAAAGAAAGAAAAAAAATAAGAAAGAAAGAAAGAAAAATAAAGAAAAAAATACTGGAAAGAAAAGAAAGAAAAATAATACTGAAAAGAAAGAAAAAAAGAAAGAAAAAAGAAAATAATACTGAAAGAAAGAAAGAAAGAAAGAAAGAAAAAGAAAGAAAGAAAGAAAGAAAGAAAAAGAAAGAAAAATAATACTGGAAAGAAAGAAAGAAAGAAAATAATACTGAAAGAAAGAAAGAAAGAAAGAAAAAAGAAAGAAAGAAAGAAAAAAAATAATACTGGAAAGAAAGAAAGAAAGAAAGAAAGAAAGAAAGAAAGAAATCTTGGTGGATTCTTTAATAAGTAGAATTGTCGCATTCGGGCTGATAAAAATCCAAGGAAGATTGTTGAAAAGACACTGCATCCAAAAAAAGTCACTGTTTGGTGTGCATTTTTTGCTAGGGCAGTCGTTAGGCCGTATATTTATAAAACTGAACGTCTATTTAGGCGACGATAACTTTAACACACAGTTTGATTGTTAATCTTTCCATGGTTGAAATTTCCAAAGACTTAAGTTGTTAAAATAAAAAAAAGATAAAAATCATTAGTCGTTTAAAGTTAATGCGCATTTAAAATCGGCCCAAGTTATTGGAACACCCTATACGATTAAAATAAAATAATAAAAGTTACGTTCAATGATTACCTAACGAAATCATTCATATTAAGAAAAAACAACTTTCAAAATCCTTTGTACGATATTCAATGGAAACATTTATCCCGATCAAAAAATGAAGAGAAGACCTGTTATTCCTATTTATTATGGGTGTATTTACATTAATTCATGCTTGTAAAATATGCGGTAGGTTTTTACAGCTGGATGCAAAAGTAGAAAAAAGAGTGCGAACAAAAATGTATGGTACTGATTATAAAACGATATCAATAAAATAATGTTATTTCTGGTATAATTCTTACTGTATACCTACTTTTGCACCCCCTTGCAATCAGAGGGTTGGATATGTGTTTGTTAAATTATTCCTTTATAAGAATATATCTTTGTTATATGAAAATCAGTGCAAATGCCTAATCTGACCTGGTTCTGGAACAACGATGAGTGGTTTATTGAAGGTAGATCGATAATAACTATTAGAAATTTACTGTTTTTTTTTAACAATCAGAATAAGATTAATACAAACTACTACTAAGAATAATTATAATATGGAAATAACGAGAAGGATGTAAAAAAATAAACGCCAGAAGTCATTTTCAGTTAAAGTAACAAAAAGAAACGCGTAAAACATCAGTTAAAAAAATTCAGTGCAGACGTCACGTGACGCAAGCATTTGTTAACTTAGTCAACCATTACATGTTGCATATATATATATATATATATATATATATATATATATATATATATATATATATATATATAATTATATATATATATATATATATATATATATATATATATATATATATGTATATGTAAACAAAAAAAAAACAACAACATTTTCTTAGTTGTGAAGAATTGGCCGAAAAGAAATGCATTTAGGAGACAAACAGGTTTGAACAATTTTGATTAATGATTCCACAAAAAAAAACAAAAAAAAACGAACAGGTTTGCGTCATTAATGTTGGCGATGGTTGAAACAAATGCTCGGTCATTCGATTTTTCTATTTCTTTTTTAATGTAACTCTAACGAGATATTAACTGAAAGAGGAGCAAAATGAATGAAGGAAAGATTTTCGTTTAGAAAAAAATGATCCGTTTATGAAGGGGTAGAAAAAAAAAAAAAAAAATCGAAATAAAAGAAAGGAAAAAGTCTATAAGAAACTATACAGAATGAGAAATGCAAACAATAAAGAAAGAAAGAAAGAAAGAAAGAAAGAAAGAAAGAAGTACAACAGAAATACAGAAAGAAAGAAAAACGTAAACCACGAGAAGCAGCAGGTAAGAAGAAGGATACAAAATACATAAAGCATAAAAAGAGGTAGAAAGAAAAGATGAAAGGTGAAAAGAAGGAAAGAAAAGAAAGAAAAAGATGAAGGAAGGATAAAGAATAGTATGTGAAATATAATGGAAAAAAAGAGAATAAAGAAAGTCGAAGACTACAAAACGACAGAAACCAATAAAAAGAAAGAAGAAAAATGTCAGAAATATAAAAAAAAACAGAAATACAACCAAACGTTTAGAAAGGAAAAAAAAGAAAAAAGAGAAAGAAAATAAAACGAAAAATGACATAATGCAGAAAAACAAGAATCGATAAAGACAAAGACAATAAAGGCAGGAATCAGTGGAAAGAAAGAAAGAAAGAAAGAAAGAAAGAAAGAAAGAAAGAAAGAATAAAAATGTCAGAAAGAAAGAAAAACAGAAATACAGCAAACGCTTAGAAAGGAAAAGAAAGAAAAAGAAAAATAAAGAAAAATAAACGAAAAATGGCATATAATGCAGAATCGATAAAGACAAAGACTATAAAGGCAGGAATCAGCGAAAAGAAAAAGAAAAAGAAAAGAAAGAAAGAAAGAAAGAAAGAAAAAAAAAAGAAAGAATAAAAATGTCAGAAAGAAAGAAAAACAGAAATACAGCAAACGCTTAGAAAGGAAAAGAAAGAAAAATAAAAATAAAGAAAAATAAACGAAAAATGGCATATAATGCAGAACCGATAAAGACAAAGACTATAAAGCCAGGAATCAGCGAAAAGAAAGAAAGAAAGAAAGAAAGAAAGAAAGAAAGAATAAAAATGTCAGAAAGAAGCAAAAACAAAAAAAAAAGAAAGAAAATAGACGAAAAATTCACAAACAAATAAAAAGTGTCAAATTAAAAGAAATAAAAAGGATAGAAGAAAAAGACGAAAATAATTTAGGAATTTTAAAACAGCAAAAAGAAAGAATAAAACATCAGAAGCAAAAAGAAACAATGAAAATTAAAAAAAAAAAAGAGAAAACGACAGAAAGTGCTGAAGAAAAGAGCCAAAAATGAAAAATGAAAATAAATGATTTCATCAATATAAACCAAATAATAAGGGAGGTGCTTCCCTGAATTCTTCAATCTTGACGTCTTCAAGTCAAGCGTCTATCGTTATCTATACTCATTATCCTTCACTTCCTACCACTTTCTCTTCCATTCATACCACACACACCATTCCTTATTTCTATTTCAACTATAACCCACTCTATTGAGTGGCTCTCCGGGCTTACATTTAGTGACATTCAGTAAAAAGAAATGCAAATTTTACTGTATAATTCGGGGTTTTATTTTGTTGAGATATCTCAAACGAATCTATTGCCCGGATAGAGCAGATTATATTTATTTTGCCTTTGGAAAAGGAAAATTTAAAAAGTATGTACTATGCAATAGGAGAAATGGTGGATTGATGATTTGGGGAGCCGAGTACGAATTCCAGTCAAATCCATTACATTGACTTACGTGCTAATAACATTGTGAAAATTATGAAGCCTCTTGTCCCCAGTTATTGCAGGACAGACCAGGTTCTATAGCCTTGGATGGCAACTGGTTTACCGCAGAAAGAAATGGCCACCTACTGCACGAAAAGATCTACCTCGTCAGTCATGTATCGAAAGATAAATGATCGCCTAAGCGTGTATCACGCACAGCACATAACTGACTATGTAATGTGTGTGTTTGTATATTAGTAAACCGAAACAAAGGGAAAGATGATGAGACAATGGTGGAAAAAAACTTTTTATCAAAAGACGCAGTTCGCATCTACGTACAACTATGAAAAATGGAAAGAGGGAAAGAAAAGAAACAAAAAAAAAAGAAAGTATGAAGAGGAGAGAAACATAACAGAAATACGTCACGAAAAAAAAAGAAAAAAAAGATTCAAAAAGGAAAAAGAAAGAAAAAGAAAGAAAAATAGTAAAAACGGTAAATGACAAAAATAATGAAAAAAAAAAAAAGGAAATACAAAAACTAAAAAAAAAGACAGAAATCAACTGAAAGAAAAAATAAAAATAATCAGAAACATTAAGAAATATAGAAATACGGAGCAAACGCTTAGAAAGGAAAAAAAAAAAGACCAAACGAAACAAACATTCAAAGCAAAAATTCAGAAAAAGAAACGACAAATGACAAAGACTATAAAGGCAGGAATCAGCGGATAGAAAGAAAGAAAGAAATGAAGAAGGAAAGAAAGAAAGAAAGAAAGAAAGAAAGAAAGAAAGAAAGAAGGAAAGAAAATGTTAGAAACAAAGAAAAACAGAAATACAGCAAACGCTTAGAAAGGAAAAGAAAGAAAAAGAAAAAGAAAGAAAAATAAAAATAAACGAAAAATGACATATAATGCGGAATCGATAGACAAAGACTATGAAGGCAGGAATCAGCGGATAGAAAGAAAGAAAGAAAGAAAGAAAGAAAGAAAGAAAGAAAGAATAAAAATAATCAGAAACCTTAAGAAATATAGAAATACGGAGCAAACGCTTAGAAACGAAAAAAAAAAAGACCAAACAAAACAAACATTCAAAGCAAAAATTCAGAAAAAGAAACGACGAATGACAAATATAATTTTTAAAAAAATGAGAATAAATAAATTATGAAATAATAATATAAAGCCGGAAACATTTATATGCCTTAGTGGATGCATATATAGGCACACCTCTGTAAGAATTTATATATGTATGTATTTTGTGCGTGTATATATCTGTGTATATATATGTGTATATGTATATGTGTATGTATATGCAGTTATATAAGTGTTGGGGCGCACCCACCTTCTAACTAGAAATGGACTGGTCCCTCTTATATAAGTCAGCTCTAGAGAGAGGACGGGGGAGCGTCAGCAACAGCAGTCCAGATAAGGTTACCCGGTACATACCGTTGGACTATAGACTTTGGATATTGTTTCGTACTAACCAACCTTCGTTCTACTAATCACTCTACTGTTAATTGCTTTTACAAATATACCAGTATTTCCTCTACAACTGTGTTTGTCTTGATTCTTACACCAACACGCGGGAAACTCACAACATCTCAACAATAAGTTAATACAAAAGATAATTTTAAAATTCCTAAATTAAAATCCTACAATACAAAACGGCTTTAATACAAATTTATATAAAACAAACAAGCTCAGAGGCAGATTTTCTTCAGGTTTCAAGCCAGGATCTAATAAGCTATGGTAATTAATTTGATTTACAATACCATCTCATCCTCAGAGATCCCAGGACATACTCCTAACGCATAACTTTGGCTTTCATTTAACCAAACTGATGATGCCAAAGAGTAAATAATCTTTCTCCGGTGAAACGCGTCTTTGATAAAAAAAAAATTCTAGATTTTCTTATCATCTTCTTATACTACATGCAAATACATTGTAAAAAGGGGAGGAAAAAATGACTCACTCTAAAGTGGTGAATGGAATAATTTAAGAAAAGAATAAGGAATGAAAGCTAACTCCTCGCTCTTCATAACTCAATCGAAGAGAAAACCTATAAATATGTGCCCAACAAATAAAAACAGTAGTAACAGAAAAATCCAAGAGACACAGATAATAACAGTAAGACACCATCAACCATTTCTTCTGCTCACAGTGTGGGTCGTCCTCTGAGGGATTTTATCAAAGCAAATGCAAGTATTTATTTTGTAACAAGTATTTATGTTCAGGTTCAACCAACCCGATGAGCCCTGTCGGCTGAGGCTGTAAGTAGGCTGAGTGCACCTCTTCAGTGGGGTAAGACGATAAACTACATCCATTTGAGTATCTACACTCCGCCCTAGAGATTGAACTCACAATTATTCTGCAGCCAGATACATGAACTAACTTGATCCTCTATTGCTGGAACTTGGAGCTTTCTTTCTTTTTGTGTGCCATGTTCATGTCCACCTCCCTCTCAATAAGTTCCTTCCCTCTGCCACCTCCCCCAGACGACGTTTTGTCACCCACTTGCTTAAATCCACCAGATATATCACACGTTGTTTTCTCTTGTGTTGTGGCCTTGTTAGGAGGAATTGAGTTAAACAAATATATTAACAGAAAAACAGTAATACAAACGAGAGTGTTACGGCAAGAATGTTCGGTTCGACTATCAGAGCTGACTGATGGAAACTACAGTCCTCTAAAAGGCAGTACCTGCTCCTATTTATAGCTGGGAGAGTTCATGCGTGCATGGGTAAATTACCATACCTTGTCTCTCTTTCCCTCTGTTTGACCCGTCAGTATCAGATCCTCCAGGCCCTCCTTCCTCATTATGTCCCAAAATTTTCAGCTGCCTCTTAAGTATAAGCTTCGTCCTTGTTTGCAAGCTCTCTAAGATCTCATCATTGCTCACACAGTCGGTCCATGATAGCATCCTTCTGTAGAACCACATCCCTGTGGCCTCGTGTCTCTTCTTCATCTTTCAGGAAAACGTCCAACAATTGCTGCCGTAAAGAAGAACAGATGTCACGTAACAGTTCAGTGTTCTTTTCTTTGTTACCAAAAACATCCTCCTGTTTCGCAGTACTTTGCCCAGCTTTTGGAATGTGTCACTGGTCATCCCAAGACGTCTACGGATCTGTGTCGCACTTACCGTCCTCTGTCAAGATGCTTTCCAGGTATTTAAACTTCCGCTTCTGCTTGATTCTAGTGTTCCCAACATTCAGATCGCATTTCGGGCTCATCCTCTTACTGATGACCCTGCACTCCATCTTCTTGTAGTTTATGTTTAGTCCCTTCTTCTCACTCACTCTTACTGGCTACATTCTGGGTGAGATTTTGTAATTTAATTTCTATGTCTGCAATCAGTACTGTGTCATCTGCGTATCTTATGTTGTTAAGATTGTTGCCGCCAAGGTCAAATTCTCCCAGGATTGTCTTGGTATAATGGGTTTTGCATCTATGTTAGAATACCTTTTCAGGTTCAAAAAAAGTTCACTGTAGAACCCTACATTCTATTTTTAATTTGAATAAATTAAAAATACTAGATAAAAGAAAAACACTGTAGAACCCAACCTTTGAAGGTATCTAGTTTTTTTTAATTTGAATAAATTAAAAAAAAATCGAAAAAAAAAAAAGAATACTGTAGAATCCGACTTTTGAAGGAATCTAGTTTTTTTTTTTAATTTGAATAAATTAAAAATACTAGATAAAAGAAAAACACTATAGAACCCTACCTTTGAAGGAATCTAGTTTTTTTAATTTGAATAAAAAACTCGAAAAAAAAGAACACTGTAGAATCCGACCTTTGAAAGAATCTAGAATTTTTATTTGAATAAATGAAAAATACTAGACAAAAGAAAAACACTTTAGAACCCGACCTTTGAAGGAATCTATTGTCCTAGCATAGATGTAAATACCATATGAGCTCTATTGAGCACTGTGTACTGAATATCATTTCCCTACCTTGCATTATCAATTATGTTAGTATTTTGCCATTTGAATAAATTAAAATCATATCTTTCTACATGATTGACAAAGATTTTTTTTTTCCGCAGTAGAAAAGACTAGTTGCCTTCCAAGGCAGTCCTGTAGAAGAAGAGGATTCAACCTTCCCCAAGGGTATTAGCACGTAAGTTTTTTGAATTTGAACTCGGCTTCCAATTTCTCAATCCGAGCCAATCCATTAAAAATTGTAATCAGAAAAAAAAAATACCTTCTAGGCTGTTTGCCAACCTCTACTAGAAAACACAGTTTAACGTGTACATAACCTAGTACACATTTATGATAGGAAAATAAACAATTATATATAAAGACCAGTTCATTTTTTGTTTTGTATGTTACATTTGAAAAATAAATTTTGAAAAACCCAACTCGCGTCACATACTAGTCATTAAAATGGAGTAAACAATATAGGTCATTTTCGCAGTCACAGAAACTGTTAATCTGATATGCGTCCTCATCAAATCTCCTTCTTCAGTACAATGAAGAATCTATGTTTTTGTTTGGAATTTGAATAAAAACCCTCCATGGAATCTCGAAAAAAATAAAACATGGAGACGTAGAATATCCGGGATAAGACTTCCTCCGTCAACCCTCATTGGAATCTCTGGAACCAGAATGACATCATCAATTTTATTTTCTCCAGAATAAATTCATTCACCAATACTCCTCTTTAAATGAGGGAAGCTAGACAAAACCAACCCTCCCGCTTTGGTAAAAATATCTGGAACAAGACTTCCTCCACCAAGCCTCCCTGGAATCTCCGGGAGCAAAATTCCTCCACTAGCCTTCCCTTTAGTATAATGAGAGGCGCTGTCGCATTTAGAAATTCCGGGATCAATCTTCCTTCACCAACCCTCGCTGGAATCGCCTGGGCCAGATTTGATCCCTTCTCGAATGGCATTTGAAAGACTGTAAAGCAACAGATCTGTTTAATGCAGTCATGGGTAAACTGAGGCCTGTGGGTCTCATGTAACTCTTTTGGCTTTCTGAATGCTACGCCTAAATTCGTGAGGAAAATAACGTTTATTAAAATATTGTTTGTTTTCTTTCATTCTCACTTGTTCACTCACACTATCTCGCACTCATACATAACCACATAAAAAATAATGTTTAAGTACATTGTTTATTGATATTCGAAAAGTTTGTTGGCGATAACGGCTTCATCATTGCCGATTTTAACTAAGGAAGATCATACGTGTAAGCATGCTCTTTTTTTTTTTTTTTTTAGAAATGGGAAACTTTCAGAATATATTTTTCCTGGAGAAGAAGTAACATTTTTATGTAAAAAAAAAAAAGGTTTTATTTTTAAATGAATAAAGTTAGAAAACCAATTACACGCATCGGCGTAAATTAATAACATTTTCGTCTGTGATAACATTATACCGAGATGTCATTTTTTTTAAATTATTATTGATTCCAACTGATTCAAACTAAGCTATATTTTATTTTTGAACTCAATAATTTTATGCACAGGTTTTCAACAAGCATGGCAGATAATATTTTTGTTTGGTGGATTGGAATTATATCGTTTTGTGGGAGAATTATTTACTGGGTAATTCTGAAATTTACTTTGGCAGTCAGGGTATCGGCCTGGGAGTCATTACAGTATTTTCACTGTTATTCTCCCGAATGATCTTTTCAGTTTCTTCGAACCTTCACAACCTTAAACCCACTAAAAGTTACTAGTTTGACTTCCTGAGTAATAACAGTTGTAAATGGTTTAAATTCGGACGTGAGGACTTTTCAGACCATGGCTATGAGCAGACCATCATCAATCACCTCCCGCGGGTAGGATTTCTCACACATCATTAGAAGATAAGTAGATAAACTCCTTCCTTTTAAGTCCACTCAGCTGAGTTTCGTAGGAATTTAGTTTCCAGGCCATCCTTGAGATAACTTAATTGCCGGGGTATTCAGGATTCATGTCTTCAGTTCGCCTTTGAATTGGCAACATAAAATTTTATCAATGATTTAGATAGTCATAAAAGTAGTCCTTTGGAGATTTGACCACCCATGCGTCTTTGGTGTAGTTTCAAAACTTTCAGAACACAAGTAGATGGATAGGTGAATAGGACCTCAGCCATTATCCATATAAACAGTGAGAAGGGGTCTAGCAAGCAGTGAGCAATCAGCAGTGACGAAAGCAAGAGGCAGTGAAGGTAAGGGTTCTTTTCCGTATCCGGAAGTTAGTAAGATAGCAGTCAACTTCTCAAAGCTGAAGGAAGGATCCCAGGGTGAAGTGAAAAATCGTGTTGTTAAATCGCAATCAGTGTCTTTAAAAACAATTGTCGTTATTATATTTTGTTGAATCCGATCACGGCCATGAAGACAAACCTGCGAACATCGAAAGTTGTGCGCATATGCAGATACACTCGACCTTGGATGTCATCAGGTGGTGCAGTGAAGGACGAACGAGAGGAGAATTTCACCACAAAAGACGTCACAAGCTGTTAAGCAGTAATAGTTTCAGTACTTGCTATTCGTAAGGTGTGTGTATGTGGGTGGTGATAACTCCGTATACAAGGAAATTATTTTTGTAGAAAAAAATCCTAAACGCCCCCAACCCCAAAAATCGACTTGTCTCTAATTCTAAAACAGATGCATATGCGTAGGATATTCTGTAATGAAAATCGTTGAGGTATCTTCAAAGAAAAGTTACCTTCTAATTTTTTTTATTAATGTGACTCGCTTTATAATGTGCCATATATCATGCCACCTACTGCTCGTAAAAAAAACTTGCCAACACCTGGCTTAATCTTATGCATACTTGCACCTAATGCTCGTAAAAACTTTGCCAACTCCTGGTGATCATATGCAAACATATAGGCCAAGGGGAAAAAAATTGGCCAGTTAACGGGACCATTGCTACGCCGGCCTCGGCATCCACCAACTTATCCTCTTTAGTACAATCAAGAGCCCGTCCAGGGTATGACGATAAACTATATCCTCCTCCTGGGTAAGAAGATAAACTACATCCAGCAACAAGGCCTCTGATCAGAAGGTTTTGAGGAGCGTGGAACGACCTCTTAATTGCTGGTGTTCTCAGGTCCACCCTGACCCGGGGTGGTAGTACCTGTTAGGGTCCAAGCTATGGGCAAATAGTTGACCCCCAAACTGGAGTCAAAACACTATGAAAGTGTAAAAATAGGTTTTAATACCAGCAATACATTTTTGTAAAAGATTATTACCAGCAATATATTTTTGAAGAAAAAAATAATTACCAGAAATACATTTTTGAAAAAAAATAATACCTGCAATATATTTTTGAAAAAAGAATTATTACCTGCAATACATTTTTAGAAAATAAAAATCTTGTCGGCATTAAATAACCCATTGAGGTTGATAAGCCGTAAAACAAACCAAAATTAAGAAGGTGCCCTCAAAGGGAGCAAGAATCGCCAACAACTCTAAGAGAAATGACACAACGCTTCGACTTGAGCCCGAGGACCGAACAAAATCAGACTTATCGGTATTTGTAAACCTCCCCACGGTAGTCGCAGATATTTACCCTGGTCAACCGACTTAGACGTGGCACAAGGTTGGGGTTAACGTAGGGTACCCGAGAGCGTACACTCTGGCCAAGGACAAAAATTGCCCAGCCCCTGCATCCGTCGGTTGCGTGGATATAGGCATGACAACACATCCCCTTCCTCTTTAGTGCAATAGAGAGGTGCAGCCTCGGGCAGCTGTCACCCGAGATCGGGCACCTCAAAGCATTTATTTTCCCCAGCTGCGACTCTGTCCACGGGCAGAGCCACGACTGAGTCGCACTCTGCCCGAAGACAGAGCCACAACTACCCAAGGAGAGTAGCACGCGACACGATAATTTTTGACGTGGGCTGACCATATATGGATTGTCCAGTCTGCGCAATCAATGTCACTTTGGCGTTGGTATCCTCTAACGTTACCTATTAAGAGGAATTATGAAGTCCCTGCTGCAAGGTTGGAGTCACAGGGTCTAGGTGTTCCGTACAACTCTAAGAGAAAAGACACCGAAGCTCGGGGAAATTCGGATTGATCCTTAGCAATTGGACGGTGAGTGAATGTTTCATACTCGTCAGTACCTACAGATATCCTGAGTGTACCGATCCCTACGTAAATCACTGTCTTAATGTTGACAGGCACTTTTACACGGGTTAATAATACGCAAGACTGGTTTCTAATTATGGTTGGCTACGAGTTTAGGAGAAGGGCATCTGAATTCAAACTCAGTTGGGCGAGGGCAACGACACCGCATAAAAAGCCTATTTTCTACGGAAACACCAACAATACATAGAAAAATCAGACTGTGACCTAAAACTATACAGGCTGGTATACAGGGTCCACAAAACAATAACATAACAGTGGTGAGGATACAAATCATTCTAGTCTAGCGGATACTACCCGTTAGAAACTAAACCCGATAGCAAAGCCTCTAATCGGGAGATTAGAGCTTTTGAGGAGCCTGGAAACACGTATTAATTTCTGTTGTTCCAGTGTACACTCTAACCCGGGGTTGTAACACCAGTTAGGGTCCAAGCTATGGGCAAATAGTGAAAAAAAAGCGCACTATGAAAGCATAAAAATAGGAGCAATGCATATTTATACAGTAAAATTAATAACAATACATATATTACTAAATATATATATATATATATATATATATATATATATATATATATATATATATATATAAAATATGTGAAAATATATAGAAAATAGGAAGGAACTGGTTAGGTAAATAATCCAAAAAAAATTCGCTTGAAGATGGAACAGAGCTTATTTTAACTCAATTTAATTTAAATAATTATATCGAAGTTTTCGGCTCTTGTTTTGAAACATGAGACTTCTTATGTAGCGTTTTGGAATCATATTTTTTAAATAAATAATTATATATATATATATATATATATATATATATATATATATATATATATATACTAAATTACTTATAGTAAAATGACCAGCAGTATAATTTATAGTAGAATTACTAACAAGACATTTGATAGGAAAAATGCATTTTATCTGTAATAGAAATCATAAAATTGCGTTCAAATATATTTAGTTGATGCGATAAAACAGTGTTCAAAATATCTAGATTTTGGCATTAGATAACCAATAGAGGTTGATATCCCACTAAACAAACTCAGCCAAAAAGCAACTACATTTTAGTACCTGGATATTATATAGATCTGTCTGTGTTGAAAATGGTTAGTGGCCTGCAGAGCTCATGGGGTGTTATTGGCCAGTAGACGCAGTGAATGTTAATGGTAGCATTAGCCGTTTCCCTACAAGAAAATATTCGACATTCATTGATCGAGCAACAACTAATATTTTCTGTTTAAATTTAGGAAGTCCTTCTCTGAAAGGAATTTTCAAGATAATAGGTTTTTCGAGCTATTATAGCATTTTCCAGTATTGTTTGGGGGGGGTTGCTTCCCAACGATTTATTGGAAGTAATGCTGAATGTCAGCATCTTCATTATGTAATTCTTTCCTCGTCGACGAACATGTGCGCGCCATTTTAGTTCTTTCTACTGTTGGTTTTCTTCTAGTGATGATGAATGCCTTTAGAAATAAAACCTTGACATGGATTACATACAATGAAGCATAATAGTTATTTTCGAAAATGTGTCTGTTCATCACAAAATTAGGGGAAGACAATGTTTATTTAAGTATATATATATATATATATATATATATATATATATATATATATATATTATTCATACAAAAAAAAATACAAAGGTTAATGATTTAATTGGCGAGAAATCCATCGTTGCAAACAATTCAAATAATATACAAAAACCCCGAACCTGTTTATGAATGAAAAGATCCTTGTTTCTATAAATTTCTGTTGCATGAGTTCTTATTATTTTTACAAGCTTTCGTCTGTTCCTACAGACATCCTCAGGTATGGAAT